TTCTATTTCCATGCATCTAATTTTTTCCGGTTAAGTTATTAATCAATGATTGATTGTTCAACATATAAAGGTATATATTATTCAACACGTTTCCATGTATTAAAGGCACACCTCTTAAAAAGATGTCTCCATAAAACATTTGGGCCTGAATCTCTAAATGGAAACATTATTAAATTGAAAGCTTATTGGTTAGAATTATTACACGATAATAATAACTAAGTACGATAATATTATTACACGATATATTATTATTATTCTTTCACGACAATAAATTAATAATGATTAAATATGGTAATATTAAGTTTGGCCATGTTCTCTAAATGGAAATATTTTTAAATTGAAAGCTTCTTAGATTATAATTATTAGACGATAATAATGACTAAGTACGGTAATTTTATTACACAGTATATTATTATCATTCTTCTTACATGGTAATAAATTAATAATGATTAAATACGGTAATATTATTACACGATATATTAATATTATTATTCTTGTTACACGGTAATACATGATCTATTCTTATTACACGGTGATTTATGATTTAATTATCATTTATTTATTCAACACTTACTATATGTACCACCATTTCTATGTATTACTTTGACATTTCTTTTAGATTTGATTTCTTTCCGAAAAGGAAACGAATGGTTTGTATGATTAAAATGATTTGTTTCTTAATTAGAAATTACATAAATTACGAAACTGTGAATTTAATGCATTAATTAAAAAATTTACAACTTAACGTGATTATTACCTTTTATGGACAAATATTATTTTTAGTTGAATGGTAATCATTTTTTTTATTATATCAATTAGAATTTAATAAAAAAGTTCGGTAGTATAAAAGAAGTTTATATAAATAATATTTTTTATATTTGTTTTCCTTTTTAGAAATATGTTAGGCATGCGAAATTTTCTTTAATTTATCATTCTAAATAAGAACAGAGTAATTAATTAATTATGCATGCAAAATTATTCTAAAAAGGAAACAACGTAGATCTTGTTTGCAAAATTAGTCCCTTCCTTTTTTACCAAAATTAAGTAATTATGCATTCAAAATTTCTTTTAATTTATCATTCTATTATTCTTAAAAGTATTTTCTTTTAAGAATAGAGTGATTAAGTAAATAATTACCTATTTAATTAGGCATAAATAATTACTTTTTGATAAAATAATCAGGCGTAAATTATCCCAAGTAATTATAATAATAATAGTAGTAATAATTAGGCATAAATAATTACCTATTTAAAAAGGAAACAAAATATAAAAAATCTCTTGCACCGTTCTTTCTTTTTTTATCACAATCAAGTAATTAGACGAAATTGGTTAGGAAACAAATTACTCCCTTCCTTTTTTATCAGAATAGAGTGATTATGAATGCAAAATTTCCTTTAATTTATCATTCTAAATAGGTAATATTACACAACCAATCATAGCCGGAGATCTTATTTGTTCTTTCATGTCGACGGCGGAGGAGATGAGTGCATTGGGTGGGAAAATAATTCCCCTGCTTTTAATAATAGAATGATTTTAGAAAACTTACCATTTTTACGCGTTTGTGCTTGTAAATTATAATATTTTTTAATGATAAATAATTAATTTGTAATTTATTTGAAATAAATCATTTTAATCATGCCCATACTTTCTTAATTTGTAATTTTTAAATTTTATTTAAATATTTAAACGGCAGTATATTTTATTTCTATACTTAAATCCCCCAATGGTTCACTACTATTTAAAATTAAAAACATACTTAAAATGGAAGGAAAACATTAAGGTAAAATAATTAAACTACCATTTATGTTGTCAACAATTTCCATATATGAGTGTCATGCATGGGCGGGAAAAAATTCATGTCTTTTTAAATAATGTATAGATGAAACGGATTTTAGAGCACTACTTAATATTGTCATTTTCTAAATGGAAAAAATATGTTAAAAAAATACATTTTCCAAATAAAGTTTCTGAAAAATGTGTGTGCACTTAAAGATGTGTGCACCAATGCATAAATAAGGCATGTATTATATACTCCCTCCGTCCCTAAAATAATTTCCTACTTTGATTAACGTGCAAAACCCCGTGAATTTTAAAATGATTTTATTTCCAAATTGGTAAGGAAATAACACATAAAAAAGTTATATTTAAAAACTACATCGAAAACTCTATAAAATAAGAGGTGACAAGAATATTTTATTTTATCAAGTGATCAATGAAAACACACAAACAAATAAGAGTTATCGAGAGGCGTAATAGTAAACAGGAAAGACTTTTTGGGACGAAAGGAGTAATAAAGAAGAATTATTTTTTCCATTTATAACTTTTTTCTACTTTTAATTTATTACCTTTTAATACGAACACATTAAGCATTTACGTACATTTTATAAGTTTTCCCTATAAATGGTTAACTGAAACTAATAATATAAATTAATTTTAAAATATACAAACCAGTAAATATTATTTAAAAAATTAGAAACCAAAATAAGTTTACCCTTTAATTTAATTAGAATTTTGAAACAAAAGAATAAAAAACCAAAAAAGAAGAACAAAAAATATAACAATATAAATTTTGTTAGAGAGTAAAAGTAGAGACCTATTTATTAACACTCGAGAATATAAAAAAGTATAATTTGCAAGAATATCCAAACATATTGGAGAATATAATTTTTTTGAAAGTTGAATCTTATAATTTTAATGAAATATTACATATAATAATTTTCGATATTACTTGTCCTCTTTTTTTAATGTTAAATTTTATAAATTTAATAAAATGTTAAACATAGTAATTTCTGATATTACTTGCCCTCTTTTTCGATTCGTTACTTAAATTACTCAATTTTAGAGTTATATTATTGAAAATAATTGATACCTATGAAGTTCTGTACTTCAAGGAATGTGTCATCCACCACCCAATCAAGTTTAAATATACACCTGGTTAAAGAGGACCAATGTTGTGATAAAAAGGACACAATCAGTAATAAAATTCCATCTTTCAGTGTTTTTTTTACGTATTGTTGGAAGGGGCAGACCCACGACCCACGTTGAATCTCACGCGATCACGTGACCCCACAAAAACTTTAATTTTTTTACCTATATATATATATATAAATTTTTAGGTGTATACGTATAATTAGTACTCCGTATATATTTTACAAAACCCTCTATAAAATAACTTGGAGACATTGAAGGAGTGGAAAACTCTGTGTTTCAGGATTGCTGACTGCTAAGATGTCTTAGGTTCAACTATTGTTGTAGGCTAATGTTTTTTAATGATGTCTCAGATCGACTCGTCAAACTCTACACAATAGTATAATTTTTATAATTTATTGATAAATATTTCCAATTAATCTCGGGTCCCTTTGAATAATTGATTAATTCATTCTAGTTAATTAATTCTCATAAGCCGGATTTCGAGGCATTTCAATAAGCGAGGGTATATACAAACCAATTCACCAATAGACTACAACCATTTTTAAATAGATAACTCAAACTAATATGATAAATTAATTTTTAAATCTACAAACAAATGTAACTTTTTAAAAATAGAAACTAGAATAAAATTACTAATTGATTAAAATTTTGAAACAAAAAAAATTCCCAAAAAATCAAAATATAATACATTGGAGTAACAATTTAATTTTGTTTAGAGAGAGTTATAACTAGATTTTTAAGTGATTGGGTGAGGTTTAAAATTAAAGTAAAACCGATGTTGTGTTTGTAAAGGTTATACTCCTTCCATCCCTACTTTTATTACAAAATGAGAATTACGAAGTAAAATCTCACGATTTTTGAAATTATTTTGTTTATAAATTGGTACATCAATAATAAATAAAAATTATATACTCCTTCCGTCCTAAAATTAATTTCTTAGTTTGACTTTTGCAGCCAAACTTTTTCAACTTTGACAGTATATTACGAAAAAAATATATTGAATTTTCATATAAATTTATTAGCAATAGATTCATTTTGGAATATAGTTTTGAAATATATAATATTTATAAAATATATTTATATAAAAATTGAGATATTGATAGTCAAAGTGTCGCATTGGAGACCGTGAAAAGTCAAATAGGAAGTTAATTTTAGAACAGAGAGTATTAAAAAACTATTTCTAAAGTTTTACAAAACAAGAAGTGACAAAACTATTTTATTTTATCAAATAATCACTAAATAAAAGTTATTAAGAAGAAGAAGAAAATGAAATTGTAATGAAAATGAGGACAAAGGGAGTAAGTAGAAAGTTTAGAGCACCAATAGTGGCGAAGCAATTCCTTACCACGCCCTGCCACATTATCCAATTAATGCTTTTGCCTCGTGTGTCTAAGAGGTTTTGCCATGCTTGGCATGACAGCTGCAATGCACTGTTTTTTTTTAAATTTGTTGTTTTTTGTAAAAAAAAAAGATTTTTTTAAAAAAAGGAGTACATCTATTTTCAAGAAAAAAAGATAAGTAAAATAATTTTTAATAATTGAAATATATTTAAAAAGTGTAAAAATTGACAAAAGCAATGACTTGTCATTGGAAGGAATGTCACTCCACTCACTTGCCACACGCTGGCTGGACTATTTTTGGTTGGTTAAAATACTCCACGTCACTGTGTGGCATTCCATATTTTACTTGTCATTGCCTAGATACCTGACCAGGTCTTGAGGCGTCAGACTTAGATACCTCTCGTTCGGTTGCGAACCTGCCGGTTGGAATTTATACCCATCACTTGGCATGGCAGCTGCAAGGCACTCTTTTTTTAATTTGTTGTTTTTTGTTAATTTGTTTTTAAAAAGGAGTACATCTGTTTTTATGAACAAAAGATAAGTAAAATAATTTTTAATAATTAAAATATGTTTAAAAAGTGTAAGAATTGACAAAAACAATGATTTGTCATTGGAATGAATGCCACTCCACTTACTTGTCACACGCTGACTGAACTGATTTTGATTGGTTAAAATACACACGTCACCATGTGACATTCCATATTTTACTTGTCATTGCGAATGCTCTTAGGCACAAATGTGCTTCGGTTGCCCCACGGGCCACGGCCCATTTACCTGGCCACTGCAATTTTTCTAATTTTGACCCGAACTATTCAGAAATTATCCTTCGTAGAACCGGTAACCAATTAATTTTGACGCGATTATCCTCTCGCTGGTCAAACGAACCGTTCACCACCACAAATGGCGTCGTCTCCGCCGCCAACCGCCGCCGTCCCTCTCCGTCCATGGCTGCAATTCGCGGACTCCACAGCCTTAAGCCTCCCTATCTCCGTCTCCGACGCTACCTATCGGATCAACCAAAACCTTAGGTACTTCGTCGGGAATTACGTCCTTCTCATGTTCTTCGTCATCCTCGTCAGCCTCATCTCCCGCCCGCTGACTCTCATCGTCTTCCTCGTCATATCCGCGTCGTGGATCTACCTGTATCTGTCCCGATCGGAGCCGCTGGAGCTATTCGGCTTCGACATTGACGACCGCATCATCTTAGGGTTTCTCAGTTTGATCACTCTGATCGCCTTGTTCGCCGCCAGGGTTTGGAGTAATCTCTTGATTTCAGTTTCCATTGGAGTTGTTTTAGCTGTTGTTCATGCCGCATTGAGGGCTCCAGAGGATCAAGAGGCTTCTCCTTACGAAGGGTTGCTCAATGTGGTCGATAGCCCCAGAGGTAATTACACTAGGGTATGAACTTCATGTCTTTGGATTAAAGCTCAGTACATGGTTTGAATTGGGATAGCTTTAGGCATCAAATGCAAATGTTCTTAATCCAAAATTGAAAAAAAATTGTTTTTATCATTGTTTCCCCCAAAAACTTGAAATGATGATCATGATATTTGGAATGTTCCTCATGAATTTCTGATGGGAATCTGCTAATTTCTTGGGTGCCAGAGTGACCATTTAATTCAATTTTGATAGCCTTGAATTTAATCTTGTTCTGTTTTATGCTCCAAACCCTGTCCTGCTTTTTAGGCCTTCAATTGGAAAGGAGTTGAGGGTGTCATTTCGAATGTCTGTTTCATGTAATTGTGTGTGTTTGCACGAAAGATTTTAGGTTTTGTATGTCATGATTCATTCCTTCACTTGTTACTTTCAATGAAGTTTTGGGTAGTTAATGTCATTCTAACTCTAAAAATGGGTTGGTGGGGGGAGGGGGGGGGGGAGGAGGCGTAGGGGTTTTACAAATAACTTTTGAAAATAGAAAGGGATTTTGGTGCTCTTTTCGTAAACCAGGGGCACCCATGCTATTAGCTCTGCAATCTAATTTGGAACTCTGTCTCTGGAAAAAACAAAGGACTTGAGTATTGAGGTTCAGTACTGCTGAGTATCTGTCCGGACTTCACATTTGATAGGACTATAGGAGTTCGTGGATACAACAGCGTAGTATGGTTGTAGTTTCTTTGTTGAGACCATGTCTGTAATGTGTTGTAGTGGACTTGTGGATGTGTGACTGTGTTTCTTTCACCTCCAAAACTACGGCCTTTTGATTTCTTGGAAGCAGTCTCTACGTGACTTAACACTATGTTTGGTTCAAGGAATTTGGAAGGAAAAGAATGTTCTCTCATTTTCCTCACCAAAATGGGTGGAATTTGGTTTTTCCTCCTCTTAGTACATTTGCCTTCTCATTTTCTTTTCATTCTACTTTTCTTTTCTTTTCCTCTCTAACCAAACAAGAAAAACTGTTTTCCACTTCATTTTCATTCCCTTTCCCTTTCAAATTCCTTGTGTAAGAGAAGAAGTAAGGTGTGTATAAATCTTCTCTACTTTTGAGTCGGGGTATTACTGGCTTTGCTTGGCTTCCGAACTAATTTTATGATGCAGGTTCATTATTGAACTGTGTTTGTGATGCTGCAACCTTTTCTTGCATATAGATTTTGCAATACATAAAGACCAAGAACATAGCCTAGTCTTGTCCCGCCCATACTCCCATGTTTATCATAGGAAACAAGCTAGGGGTACCCCAATTTCTACACCATAGGCATAAACTGGCACAATATTTTCTATGGTGTACAAATTGAGGTACCAGTTGGGGTATCCCTAGTATGGCTCTTCTCATAGACTTTGGGCAACGGAACAAAAATGTTAGGGGCAGAAAGAGAGTTTAGTTAAAGTTTTGGGCAAAGGGGACAAAAAGACTGATATAATGGTAAATTTGTCATCTTAAACATATCCTCGATGTCTTATGTTGTTTGTGGAAGATTGTAATGGTAAATTTGTCATCTTAAACATGTCCTTGATGTTTTTCCTACCTGCCCCTATCACGTGTTCATAAACCTGGTAAAAAATGACCTGGTCTTTTGAACCAAGATTTTGTTAACCGAATTCGAAAGTGACCAACCCGAAATAACCTGTTAAAAATGAGTCAAATTTGACTGAACCCAAATTGGACATGACCGACCTGCTAATATAAAAAATTTTCAAATTCATATACTTTAATATGAAATATAATGTTATAAAAATCAAATTATGTCGGTGGGCGTTGCGCAATTGGCAAATGCAAGGAGTGTCAAGAGGGTAAGATCCGAGTTCGATTCCTAGCAACTGCGTTAGGAGGCAACTATGCTAAGCATATGACTTCTGTAAGTACCAGGTGTAGGATCTACTCTCTGCCATTAAATATAATGATTAAATTTTATAATTAGTCTTTTATAATAAGAGTTTTCCATATTTAGTTTTCTATTTTCAAATATTATTCTTGTGGTCCTTCTTTTATGGATGTCTTTCTAGAAACAATCCTTTTTTATCTTCTGTCATGTTGATGTTAATTTAAGAGCTAAAAATGTAATTTGACATCAACCTTGTGCCCAGTGACGCATTCTGATGTCGGTTAGACAGACAACACAACAATAATGACTATGAATGTGGACTAGAATTCCAATGAAAGATCACATTCGTAGATTATGGTTGCAGTAGAAAATGACTATAATTCACAAATGATGCATCAGGAGCAAGCTCTGAAATTGTGTATGATAAGATTGATATATGATTATTTCGAAATTACATTTTTAGTCATCAAATTAACATCAATATGAGAGAAGGTTAAAAATATTATTTGTGGAAAGGTATCCATAAAAGAAAGACCACAAATGTAATATCTGATAATAGAGGGCTAAATAGAGAAACCATCTGTTATAAAAGACCAATTAGAATGTACTCAAATTTAATTTACCTCCTTTTAGTGAGCGTTCGGCCGGGTTTGAGGTGGCCCTTGGGGATGAGGTTCATCCTTTTATAAAGATAAGACTTTAATTATATTTCTTTTTCTTATTACTCTTTTTTAATGTAGAAATTTATATATTCATACAAAATTTTAATGATATCGCATAATAATTTTTTTTCAAAATTTATGAGATTTTGTTTTTTATTCGTAATATTTACATTGACTCATAAATATTGCTTAAAATTTTAAAAAATAAGTAAAGGTCATAACCTGTTGGATCGACCCAAACTCAATGGCATTGGATCATGAACAAGCATTTCTCAATCCGAACTTGAATTTACCCAAATCTGAAGTAATCCAAACCCAAAATGATCGAATCCGAACTTGACTTGATTGACCGATTTGTCAGTTTTTGTATTCATAATTGTTTTTGTCAAGGATGACTCTTGAGTACAATGGCACAACTACATTAATACGGGTCATTTTTACATGGGCCCAAAAATGTGACATTTATTCAAAACGTACAACATAGTAGTACTCCACTAGAGTAACTTGGAACAATAGAGCATTGTTGAACTATGCATTTTGTTGCCTTCTTTTACATGAGCACCTGATGCCAAATCACATCACATGGGACATGGGATTAAACTAATTGAAGTATCATTAGAAAACTGAAAATTCCATGTTGGGTGTAATCCGGGTCATCCATTAGTAAATGTTTCATTAGTGCGATACGACACCGCATGTGCTTATGTTACTATGTTACTAGACATTCTCTTGTTATTTGTCAATATAGGTGTGGATATTATGGGTCGATATTGAGTGGATTTAGATTAGGTTTTACACTAGTATCCATGTTTGGAAGTTGGTTGTTAATGGTTCGATGTTTTCGTTATTTGTGTCAATTATTATAAATAGATCTGTATCTCATCTTATCTAAATGAATCCGATTTAAAATTATTCTTTTGGTATGTCAAAACACATCAATGAAAATTTAAAGACAATGCAAAAGAAGACATTACCTAAAATTGAAAGACAAATGAGAAATTGAATTATTGAATAACATAGTCTTCCACTCCAATTTCATTATCACCAAAACCTTCTTCATTCTTCTCATTAACATCATTTTGTGGTCTATTAGTCCACATAGCTTCAACAATGCTATGTTTCCAAGTGTTAGGTTCCGTTCTTTGTTGTGATGTTGAGTTTGAGAAAGTATTTCTGAGTTTTCTTTCTCCATGTCAACATATGTTGAAGAAGATGACTCTAGTTCTGATTTAAGAGGAAATTCATCAGAGCGACACTCTTTATGAAAAGGGCTGTGTAGTCCACCACAAGCTAACACTATCTCTCCTTGTGTTTCAAATGAAAAGAGAGGTGCAATTTTGGAAATTGTGAACCGTGATTTAAAGATGCCAAATATCCTCTCAATCACATTTCTCAACAATGCATGACGAAGATTGAACAACTCGTTTATATCTCAAGGGTGAACACCTTGACCACCAAAATCTCTGAGATGATATCGAACACCTCGCAATGGTGCTAAAAATTATCATCGATTAACAAATCCACAGCCAACTTGAAAATATTTTCCCAAAATAGAAATAGGATGACATATACTCATGTTGTTGCCGATTCAAGCAAGGGCCTGCGGCGACAAAGGCTCTTCGGATCGAAAGAAGAGGATCGGATTCTTCGCACTGACTAACGTGTCCAAACGCTACAAGACAAAGTACAGTAAGACATCAATCAAGGAAGAGGACAAAACAGTACAAGACAAACTGAGTCACTTCCTCACATGGGTGAACATTGGCGAACGGCGCCGTGTCTCCCCCCTTTAACACTATAAATACTTTGTGTAATCCCCAAAAGAGGGGATCCGAATTTTCTCACTAGAAAGCTCTTGTATACTATCCCCCTATACTCTTGCTTATATTCAATAACAATCAGACTGCAGGTGTTCCACTTACAGTCTTCCCGGTCAATACTTGTTCCCCGTGCTTTTTGCTTATTTTATCTCAGTAAGTCACCCTAGACCTTATCTAGAGTAATTTACCCGGTGTGTAATTTACATCATCACTATCAGTTGACAAACACATGAAATCGGCCAGAATAGAGAATCAACGATGCCAAGTGTAGAAATTGCTAGATTGTGTAAAAGATGTAAAACTATAAGTATGTGAGATAGAGAAGACCTTACCTTGGAGACAACGAAGTGAACAACGGAAGAGGAGAAGAAAAGATGAAGAACGTCGGAGAAAAGAGTCTGCAAACTCCTAAGCGTTTTGGTTGAATTTACAAAATAGATTTTTATGTATACTTAAAGCTAAATTGTTTGCAATCCATGTTTTATAAAAATTCTCGAGAATCTATCACTTTTTTAATCCTATTAGATTTTAAAAGATTTTTTAAAATTTTAATTGAATACATTCAGATTTTGAATGATTTTTTAAAATGTCATTGAATAAATTTAAATTTTAAATAATTTTTCAAAATATCAATTGAATACTTCCTGACTTTCAAAATACAAAAAATCCATCAATTGAATAGACCCTCTAAATTGCTATGAAGGGGGGCATTCCATTAGCGAAAGTCGGCGGGAACCAAACGCGTCATAAATGCATTAGTCTATTTTTGGAAAATAGGCGCATCATCCAAAAATAAGACTCCGTACGACGCCATAACGGAAGAGGACAGACACAAATAATGGCGGCCGCCGCGCTGAGACACCACCCCACAAATTCTCCCCCCTTCCCCTCCGCCCTCTCTTGTTTTTCTTTATATACAAACAAACAAAGCATAGCCGCCCCGCCCCCCATGTTCGAATTTGATTCTTGGATTCCATTAGCCATGTGATCCCTCTCTCTCGGTCCGTTAGGGTTTACATCTCCCCCAATTTGCAGATTCTCTCTGTTCCCGTAGCATTGCTCGCGGATTTGTGAAAAAAACCTGGAGTTGGGCCGGGCCGGGGATTTTGGCAGGCTTGCTCTTCCTGGGGATGGTTTGTGATGGTGACGGGTCGAGAAGGCGGCTATTTGGTGCCGGTGGCGGCCGATCCGAAGAAGAAAGTCGCCGGTTCTCGGAGCTGGCTGCTGATGGACGCCGCCGGTCAGGAGGTTGTTCTCGATGTCGACAAGTACGCGATCATGCACCGCCTCCAGATTCACGCTCGCGACCTCCGCATTCTTGATCCCCTCCTTTCTTACCCCTCCACTATACTCGGCCGTGAACGCGCCATTGTTCTCAATCTAGAGGTCTACTGTTTCCCTGTCCTACTCCTATTTCTTCGTCTTCTTCATATTCTACTGGGGCTGTTGTAAAAAAAAACTTGAAGCTACAGGGGATTAATTTTAGTGTTGCTTCAATTTTCTTTTATAGGGAATTTTTGTAGAGATGGTTAGTAGTTTTTGAACTCACATCCTGCCTGATCAAATAACTTGGCAGGATTGTAATGTTGACAGTCTTTTGTGATCTTGCTAATTTGTTTACTAATTTTTTTCTGTTAAGGGCAGCATATCAAGGCTATTATTACTTCTGAAGAGGTATTCTTATATGGAGTGTCTTGTGCTTGATACACACTAGTAATCACTATTGGATCATTTTTCATGGAAAATATAGCTGGGTTTGTAAATGTTATGGCTCTTGGATCCAAACTCTCATTCACTCCTTTATTCAATTTTTTAATGCAATAGAGAAGTTTGCATTCTTCTTACAAATTCGCACGTAAATGTCAGTAGTTTGTTTACCTCTTTATTGGGTTGGGCAGGTACTTCTTCGTGATCCATCAGACGAAAATGTTACTCCCGTAGTTGAGGAACTAAGAAGAAGACTGAAGCCCGTGAATGCAAACAATGAAGATCAAGCGGAAGGAAAAGATTCCCTGGTTCACCATGATGTTGAAACGGCTGAAGAAGATGGTATCCTTCAAATCATTGTCAATTTGGACTCTTTGCTTTGATAACATGGCAAGTTGAACAGTTTTTCTCTTCCCCCCTTATGTGCAATTTACTACTACTTGTTGTGCAGAATCTCCATTTGAATTTAGGGCCTTGGAGATTGCTTTAGAAGCCATCTGTAGTTTTCTTGCTGCACGAACAATGGATCTAGAGACTGATGTGTACCCAGCTTTAGATATGCTTACCTCCAAGGTAAATAAGAACAACAGAGTCGTCATTGCTATATGTCATGATGTTTTTGTTACAAGTGCAACAGCAACCAATAGCCATCATTCATTCTCCTTTCTGCAAGTGTGTGTACATCTATACCGATTATCATGCCCAGTTTTAATACAGGGTCGAAGGGATTTTGTTTCAGTGGTTTCACAACGTCATTATTTTACTCGTTTGTATTTACTCATTATTTTACTCTATTATTTATCATTAGAGCTGTGAGAATATGCTTAGAGAGTATTTTTTGATGTTATGAACTGATTTATGCAAGTGCAACTGTAAAAGGCCCTATTTGCAGCTAATTGCAATGAGATCATGATGTCATCATGACAAGCAATGAGGTGATTTCGTATTCTAGAAAGTGTTTTACTTTTCTTAAAGCTAGTATACTTTCATAATAGTGGATGCAAAGTATACCATGAGCTATGTCTCACAGAGCATGAGGATGAAATAAAGTACATGCTCGTTACGTTTGTGACAAATTTCCATTAAAAATTCACTGCATGTTTTTCTTGCAATGTTCATTACACTTGAATCAACAATGTTCTTCTTGAGTGCGAATGATGTTTGTTAGCATTCATATGACCATTCCCATTAATGTATGACTGTTAATATCAATCATATTTAACAAGTTTTTAGTCATATCACATGGTTGATGTTTGTATCTGAACCTCGAACTCTCCAAGTTAATGTAGCATCAGTTTCTTAATCCACATGTGGATATGCCAAATATTATTGATTTATATGACGGACGACATTATATGCAACTTATGATCCTCTATTTTTTAGTTTATTTTCAGAAATTGTGCATCATTGCATGTTCTTTATGCTGTGTAGCTTTTGTAATATATTGCTCTTGTAGATTAGCAGCAAAAATTTGGACCGAGTACGAAAGCTAAAGAGTCAAATGACAAGATTGACTGCCCGAGTGCAAAAGGTAATTCCAATAAGATTGAATGCCAAATGAAAAAGTTGTGTAGGTACATATGATTTAAAGTCTAGTTCATATTTATGATTTTAAAAAGGATGCCGTTATATATACCTATATTTGCTTGATGCAATGGCCTTACATAGTTACACACGGTCAATAAATAAAATATGTGACTTATAGCTTGCCACTATCTTCAATATATATTTGCAATTCCTTTGTTAATTTTAGTATTCTAGTACTCCAAGCTAAATATGATTGGCATCGCCTGAAGTAACATTCTTATTCATACAAGGGAGAAGCCTAATGTATTAGTTTCTAGGACTCTCAGAGTCACTTGGTTAAGAAAGTAACTGATAATTGGGGATTCTTTCAATTTGAATTTAAGTTCAAAAATCTAATTGCTAACATGTGTTGTGAAGCTTAATGTATGTTATTTAATTGCTTTGTTGATCAGAAGTGGTCTTTATTTTCATTGGTGGTTTCATTCTCTGCTTGATGGTAGGTGAGAGATGAACTTGAACAACTCCTGGATGATGACGATGATATGGCAGACCTTTACTTGTCTAGAAAACTTGCCGGTGCATCTTCACCTGTAAGTGTATCTGCCAGCTGGCTTCTTGCTTCGCCCACCATCGGCTCAAAGATATCTAAAGCTAGTAGGGCAAGTGTTGCAACCATCCGAGGGGATGAGAATGACATTGAAGACCTTGAGATGCTTTTAGAAGTAAGCTTCTAGTAGAGTAAATCTCATTGATCGAAGAAGTTTGGTTTAGTGTTTAACTGTTTGAGGCTGATTTTGAATGCATCTCATTGATTCAATTTAAACCGCTATCATAATTAATTACCTGGTTATTATTTCATAACACAAACAAACAAACAAACAAACAAACAACCAAATATATGGACTGTTGGAATTCTCTGAAGTGCCTTTACTTACAATGGCTTTCTAAAAATCTGGAAAAAGCTGATCTTTGCTCATTCATATGAGGTTGGGGAGGTTGATTGCTCCCCATATATGATCATTTTGTTTTTGGAAAAGGAAAGGGAAGATTAATCATTTTGTAATTGCATATTATTTTAACAATCAATTTGTTCAAATGAAAATTCAATGACAAAATGCTCTGCTGTTTCCATTTGAGTCACTTTACTGCATGCATGTGTTTGTGTGATGTGGACAAACTACAAAGTCTCAAATGCTGAATTGGCAAGGTGCCACATGCTTTATAGATTGTACCATTATGCTATGGTAGTGGTATAAAAGGGGGTGCTATTCCTTTAGAAGCTTTTGCCGCACCATGCTGAATTAGCATTGAAGGCTGTCCAATGTATATAAATAATATCATCTTTCAGGAAACGAATTTGCACTTTTTACTGGAAAGTTGAGTAATTGGATGCTTTCTCTACAGGCCTACTTCATGCAAATTGATGGAACATTGAATAAGCTAAACACAGTAAGTGAACTTCAGTGCTAATCTCTTCTGTTTTTTGTTCTTTGAGCCGGGGTGTTTTAAAAATAAGATCTTTACTTATAGGGTTGGAGTAACTACTGATACATGCCCTGACCCCACTCGTGAGACTTCACTGGGTAAATTTTTGATTTTTTTTGTTTTGCAGCTACGCGAATATATTGATAATACAGAGGATTATATAAACATACAGGTATTGACAATACATTAAACTAAGATTAGAGCCCTCACACAGAATTTTCTAAACGAGCTTACACCTTTTGTCTTACCAGCTTGACAATCATCGAAATCAACTCATACAGGTATTTATTTGCATATGATTTGCTTGTATCTTTCATCACAAAGTTCCCTTATTGCCCATTTGGAACTCAGAGAATGTTAACAACGGAGTAGAACTGATTCGTGTGTTATGTGACCTTCAGCTAGAACTCTTCCTCAGTTCAGGAACCGTTGTTATGTCCATATATTCTTTGGTGGCCGGAATTTTTGGTATGAACATCCCATTTTCTTGGAATGAGAGCCATGGTTACATGTTTAAATGGGTGAGCATCCCCTCTCCTCTATCTTATGGAGCTTTTTTCATTCTTTCATGTTTCCGTCTTTGCAAATAACTGCGGATAATATTACCAGTATTATATTTTTTTATGGCAGGTCGTCGTTGTTACAGGCGTTGTTTGCGCAATGATTTTTATACTAATTGTTTATTATGCTCGCCACAAGGGGCTCGTTGGATCATAAATCTTTACATAAGAAGACATGTGATAATACCAAAATTCCAACTTTGATGGGAACACACAATTGTATAACACACTATATGGGGCACTACAATCATTATTCTTTGCAATGTAATGTTGCTGCTCGTGTATATGCAAGTTTTGGATCAACTTACAATTGTGTACAATTTGAATATGTGTTGGGTTGGAAGAATTCTTTATTAGTGAAAAGGGGAATTTTGTGTTGCCATCTATTAAATCTCATGAATCTCACATTTCCTTGTGGAACATATTATTTTTTGAGTCATATGATATTGCTTTCATTGAAAAAATACTCTTAAATGATACTCCCGTTCCGGAGTGTTCGTCGAGTTTTGATTTTTTTTTGCAGTCAAAGAATTTCAACTTTTGATTTATAGCTAAATAAAAATTATCGGAGTATATGGTATATTAATTAGATAAAATAATATTTTAAAAATATTTTTAGAATAAATTTAATATAATTATTTTTATATTAGTATTTAATGTTGGTTTTATTCAATTAGTAGTCAAAAGTTTTCAATATTAGTTGTAAAGAGTTAAAAATAAACAAACATGGACCCACACACGGACGTAGTATAAAACAGAAACTGTATGCTCTTCTATACGCTCGTGTGATAATCTTATTAGAAAAATGGTAGGGGTACACCAAATTCTTGCCTTTTTTTGTGGTGATGGAGGGAGTGGGGGACAAATGGGGTACACCAAATGGTGTACCCCTAGCATTCCTCATTTTATTATGGAAGAAGTGATGACTACACCTATCAAACCTCCAATTTTTTGAACTATAAACTTAAAAAATAGACCAAGAACAATATGAAGGTAGTTTTGACCAATAAACTGTAAAACATAAAAAGTATTCCCTTGAAATAATTATTCTATTTTTTTCTAGTTTGTAGCACAAATTTACAATTGTCCTATTTTATTACTCGGTACTGATGGGTATATCCTTATACCCGACCCGGAGGACCGAAAGGGACAGGTCAAAATATGACCGGTCACTTTTATCAATCACCAAATGAGGTTAACTCTTCGATTGGGACGGGTCAAAAGTTGACCGGTCACTTCCACTAAAAAGTGACCGGTCACATTTTGGGCGTTAGCCAAAATGTCGCCTAATGTTACAAAGGACATTCTAGAAGACCAGAGACGGGTTGAGCACAAAGAATGACCGGGTAACTTTTGAGAGAAGGTGACCGGTCATATCACTTTACTTGGCTAACATTGGTTCAGTCTATTAGGCATGGTGAACCACGTCAGAGGTCAAGGGGACACCCCGCCGCTCATCCATCACGAGGCACACAGTGAAAGGGATGTTTGTCATTTTGCAGGGTTGATTGGATTGAGAATATCCATTTTAGTCTTTGATTGAACAGTACATGTCTTGGCCTATAGTTGCTAAATTCTATGATTGTACAGTGTTCCCATTATCTACAGTGACCTTCCCACGAGCTTCCTATTTTGTCCAT